ATGGTCTTGGCACTGGGACATTATGTTCTCAACAGCTACAAACATACAATATTCCCAAAGACAAATATCGTGATTTGAGGCCAGTGACTGTTTTCTTGACTAATGTAAATGGCTGTAATATATAAGCATACATTTTGCACTGCCGAGAATCCGCTGAGACCAAAGGACTGATATTTCCTCAAAATCACAAAGCATTTTCAGGGTTACACCAGCACTTTGTCTTCTGGTGTCATCTCTCTTAAGTGGCCTTCAGAAAGGTAGAGATTGTTCTTCTGATTTCTAAAATGATCCCACTCTTTAAAACCTGGTAGGGTTTACCAAAAAGAGAAACTATAAACTACAGTCAAGCATTTCTACTGTAGTCTCAGTTTTGTTGTTTTGTATTTTACAGATGTATAAACTGTTTATATCTAAACACTCCCACAAATCACTTCTGCATAAACTAACTGCCTAAGATGACAAAATCTCCAGATTCACAGTGAAAAAGAATGCTCATATTATACACCTAAATTACATAAACTAAGCTGCGGGTTTTTGTTTTTTCTTTTCAGGTATCATTTAAACCACTGCAGAAAGTAGATGAAAGCCAGAGTGCAGTGTGGTTGAAGGGCCTGTGCCTTTTGTAATCCATTTACTTTAGGCTGTACCTAGAGACAACATCTTGAACGCATTCAAATGAGCCATCTATTGCAGTGCACTAGGGCCATTTGAATTACAAAAGTGGGGGTGAGCCTCAGATTCCTTCAGTTGCCAATTCACCTGCAACAGTTGGAGGGCATTAAATCCCACATTATTTCAGGGGCTTGGAGCTCACTTGTTTCTTGGCCATTTATTCCTCCAGATACTCTGTACCCTTCTACTTCTGCTGGAAAATTCCTTCCTCGCCCACTTCTCAGGGCAAAAAGAGAGGTTCTGGAAAGAGGGGGTACAGTGACTTGAAGGGAAAGATATCCTTTCCCTCTGAGTCCTCTCCCCATACAGATGCTGACAGAGCAGAAGGAGATGCAACTATCAAGAGGCAGAAACCATCAGAACGCAAGCTCAGACCATTTCAGGAATCTTTTACTGACGAGATGATTCAGGACCACACACAACAAGTGGCAAGGTGCCATTTCCCCCTAAATCCCAGTATGAGAGGTTTCTAACAACTTGAGGTGGCAGTTGAACAATCGCATATTATCATCGCTATGCTATTCTTCTCGGGAGTTTCTAGAAGCCTTCCATCTCATAACCCAAGTCATCCCTGCATTGCCATTATTGACAATCCTTTTCTGGTTGTTCTTTGAAGCAATGACCCTGAGCAGGTGGTTGTTTGGACTAACACACACGTCTCACAATATTAAATCAGAAAATCAACATCATCATAAGACACAGAGACTGCTCCCAAGAGGAAAAACATATCTTCTAATCGGGCCACTAGCTGAAACGTTCCAATATAACCTTTAACTTGGAATCATTCTGACAAACATTTTTTTAAACTGCATTTATGTATTCAATGTAACTTTACAAACGTTTGGCACACAAACCCTAGGTTCTTATAAAATCTATCCTTTAGCTAAGTCGTATGAATCCCACACTTAAGCCCTCTTCAGAGTAAGTTTTTTTCTAGGATTATGCATCCTCTGGGAAAACCGAATCAGAGTTTCACTTGAACCTCAGGCCAACTTTGAGGAGATCTCCCTCCCCCCACTTGCACCCCTGTATCCAGTGCTGAAAAACCAGAAGGGACTTGAAATGTAGAGGTGGAAACCTGTCTGAAATAGGCAAATACTTCCCTCTAGCAGTCAAAGCTCAATCATTTGGGACGTGATAGATTTTAATCATCAGATCAAGAGTAGAATTTGGAAAGCAAATTCATTTTGTAAGAAAATTATTTTATTGGCTTCAATCTTCTAATCTTTGTTTAAATTACTGAGAACAGGTTCTGTTACTAGTATACTAATCACAGAACAGTCTAATCTGAATGCTCTTATCATGTGAGGGGGGAAAAAAAAATGAGAGTCATCCTAAACACCAGTCAGAGCAAGTATGAGGACACACGTCCTGAAGCACATAGTCTCCTTGCTTTCTATCTTGATTTCATCGTCAGTGTTACCAGCTGTTCTGGGCAAAATTTAGTCTACAGCAGCATAGGTAGGAATAAAAAATACGCTGACAATTAAAACTATAGAGATTGGAGTAAAGTGATGATGCCAAATTTTCAATCTAACAAGTTTCTGAAAACTCAAAAACCAAGAAAAAGATAAAGAATCTTCAAAACTTGATTCATTTTTGGCATCTGTTCACAAAAGACTTGAGCAGATGAATTTAAGTGTACCCTTGTCAGGTAAAGAAGCGTGAGAGTCAGACTAGGAGCTTGGTTTTTGTCAGTTTATTTCTTCCTTTAACAAATATTGAAAAAATAACACTGGGCAGATTTCTCATTCTCCCTCTGTGCAGTAATTAAGTCAAAGAGGCCAAAAAGGTTGATCAGAACAAGGTGAAGGGTAAGGTAGACAAGAAAGGATATGAAAACCGAAATTCCTTTCTTTCCTTCCTCCTGTTTCCATTTTGGACTGGGTTAGTTTTGTTTCCCTCCAAGATTTCAGATCATCAATCTGACAAGGATTATTGTTTAATAGTCCACCAGGCTCCTCTGACCATTGAATTCTTCAGGCATGAATATTGGAGTGGGTAGCCATTCTCTTCTCTAGGGGATCTTTCTGACACAGGAATTGAACCTGGGTCTCCTGCATTGCAGACACATTTTACCATCTGAGCCATGCCGAACAGCAATACAAAATCCTGCAAAATGCTATCTCATCGCCTTGATTGGATACTTGGCTTTGTCTAGAGATTGTGTTTTACGCTGTTGAAAATCTTTTACCTTTTAGAATCGGCACCTACAACTCTCAAATGCACTTGGTCTAAATCGCAACTGTGCTTAAATCTGTGGCAACCTCTTCACATTTATGCTTTTCTCTGCCCTAAAAAATTCTTGTGATTCTAGCATTACAAGTTTTAAAGAACACATTTCTAATCTATATTCATACTAAAGAACACTGGGTGAGCCATTAGAATATGCTACGTCAGTAACAGCACAAATCAGTACGGCAAAAACAAGCCCGCCCAAGAAGAAAAGAACCTGAAGAAAACAACCTAAAAAAACCCCAAAAAAGAAGACACATCCCCAAATGCTTTGGGACAGTACCCAAGAGTAGATGAACTTTTACCTTAATAAAAAATGAATCACTATTTGAAAAATTCCACTTCATTTACTTTATCTGATTTCTTAAATATCCAGTGGTGGATTTGTCAGCTGTCATAGTTCATCAGCCCTAGACTTTTATGCAGATTGAATTTTTTAACTTTAAACAACTAAGCCTGTGCTCAATGTTACCTTGGGAGGTAAATGACTCGAAGATATTCCCCTCATATCCTCCCCCAACACAGATACCCCCAGTAACCCTCCCCTCCTTACCACTCACTGTGAGATGCCTGTCATAAAAGTTTTCTCAATCTCACTTTAATAATCTGAGTCTAAAAAGTCACCTGTGCCTCTGGACAGCCCAACCATACGCTTTCAAGAGCCCAATCATACTGTTTCAAGAGGTGGGGGGCGGGGGGGGATTGTTTATTGCATGGAAAAGGTTTCATCACCAGAGGAAACGATGGGGCTGACTGTATATAATTTTCTGCTTTTCCAGAAGCTGACGTTTTAAAAATCTTATTATAAACCATTTCTTTCCAATTAAATATGCCAGAGTCAGAAGAGGGAAGGTAGAATAAGGGAAGATAAGGTCTAAAGAGAGAGGAAAACAAAATTTCAAAATCTGGACCCACAGGTAAGATTAAGGGACAGTAGTTAGAAAGATCGCCAAAAACGACCTTACCTTTGTGATGTATTTGCAGCCGCCCACTCCTGAAATTAACACCATTCAGAGCGCGGTAGCGACTGACACAGCTAGGAAGTAACCTACAACATCTGCTCGGCCTCCCTCTTTTTAATGTAAAACCAAAATAAGGAGTGTCCAGCGACTCCCTACCGCGCCGCTTAAAGCCACAGATCGTTTCAGGCTTCTCTCCCAGGCTCCGGGAATTCCAGTTGGTCAGAATCTCTTAACCTTGGAAACCCGCAGGAGAGAAACTCTCCGAGGACAAGTCCCCGAGCCCCAACTTCTCACTGTCCCAAGCTGCGCATTCCAAAGTGAGAAGCCGGCGCGATAACCAGAAGGCGGTTCTCTCGGGGCTAAATTCCTGGCGGGAGCGAGCACTCGAAAGCGCGGCGGGTCCCCTTGGCCGAGCGGCGCCGGCCCCGCACCCGCGGGAGAGCGGCGGCCCCGGAGCCCTGCGTGCGTCCGGCGCTGCGCGCGGGGAGCGCTCGAGCCGCGGCTCCGGCTCTTCCCGGTTCCCTCCTCCCGCTGCGGCCCTCCCCCATCCGAGGCCGTCCGCCTCACAGTAGCAAGGTTGTCTCCCGTCTACTCCCTTCCCTTAAACTCACCAAACCAGATTTTTACTCCCAACACCGGCAACTTCCCGTAAATCTGCTCTGAAATTTTACCCTGCTCGCTGAGCCGCCGCTGGCTGAAGGCCAGCGCAACATTCCTGTTGTTTTAGGAGCGCAGATACCTTTGCTGAAGGTTGGGGGGGAGAAAACAAAACAAATCTGCCTCGATGGGGGAAGAGACGTGGGGACTTCACCCCGCAGGCTCGTCGCTCCCCGCTCAAAAAGTCACATCCATTTTAGACGGCCAAGACACAGCCCCAGCAGTGGCACCTGCTCCACCTGAGGACAGCTGCCCGAAATCAGACGTCTGGCCCCCGGCTCGGGGCGGCCGAGGGGAACCAAGCAGAACCACGCTTGAGGAATAAGGAACCCGCAGTTGAATCACGAGCCGGTCGGTACACCCCCCCGCGTGCTCCCCCGCCTCCCCCAGTAAGAAGTCGGGTAACCAGGTAGGATCCCGGCGAGCTCGGCGGCGGGCCTGGAGGAAGGGGGCGCCTCCCGAGAGTGTCCTTACCTGGGGCAGAGCAGCTCGGACGGGCACGGGAACGAGCGTCACGCGGACCAAGCCCTGACCTTTGCCGGGGCCTTCGCCGCAGGGCCTGGGGCCTGGGCGCTGCTGGTTCAGAAGTGGCTCATTTTAATACGCTCTGACCTAAAGTTACAGCTGGTTTCTAGAAAGGGGACAGAAGAACACGGCATCTGAAAACAGCAGCCAAGCCCTCCCTTAACCTCGGCCCGGTCCTCTGGGGAGTCGGTTCTAGCCCCCCGCGCAGCCCCATCCTCCAGAAATCCGCAATCTCTGCCCCACCCCTTCGCATTACCTGTTTACACAGGAGTTAAGGAGCCTCCCGCATTTCAATAGAGCGCTAAGCCTGTTTGTAGGCGCGGAATCGGCCAACAGGAATCGAGTTCTGTGACTAAACAAACGAGAAGAGGAAGCCGGCACCACCAGGAACCTGAAACGGAGTTGTGATTTCGGGTTGCGGTGTCATTCAACTGAGGGGAGGAAAAAAAAAGTGCTGCTTCTCATTGGGCTGCTTTACCGAAGGAATAGTTAAAATCTTTTTTTTTTTTTTTTTGCGGGTTAAATGAGTTAATACATACAAAAATGTTAGAACAGTGCTTGGCACGCTGTGTTAATTGCCACTACTGCCACTATTTTTTAAAATTATTATTATTTGTACTATAGCTTTTTTTTTGAAGAGGTGGGATCGTGATCAGAGAAGTGAGCCAACACTGCCACTCTCTAGCTATAAAGCCTTGAGTCAGTTTCTTTCTTTTTTTTATTTTTTTAAACCTCTCCCAGCCTCCCCAACGGTGAAATTTCTGCCGTTTACATTCATTGAATATAATGAAAAATAAAGGTCCTGTAAAAATAGTGTTTAAGTGATCTCCATTTCACTTAAAATTTGCAAGATGGACAAGATACATGAAAATAAATTGACCTGTACGCTCCATGAAGTTCTCTGACAGCGAGGAAACTCAGAATCTAGCCGTCTACACAGACACGTGCTTCATTCAAATTCGGATTTAGGCACCTAATTTGCTGTCTGACACCAGGAGAGTTACTTATCCTAGCCAATGCTGGACACATAGTGGCCATTGCCATTTGAATATCAGCGTGAAACGGGGGAAAATAATTTTTAAGCTCTTCATAAATATCTGAAAGTAATTATTGACGGCTAAGATGTGCAGTGCTGACACCCTTTTTTCTCCACTTAACTTCACTCTTAAAGAAATCATAGCCCCTTTACCTGAATGAGGCCTTTAGTACTTTGCCGCACTTTAACCCACCTCATTTTACCCTACAATTCTATCCTATGGAGTACTTCATTCCGGTTTTGCAGATTGAAGACACTGAGGTCAGAGCACATTTTCCCTGAGTGTTGAGGCCGAGATAGTTCTCAGCTCCAGTGAAATCTAAAAGCAGCGTTTGCCACCTTTTGGAAGAATGATTCCTTCAAACCAGTCAGGAATTCTGAAACATTTTAAATCTCTTTGATTTTTTGTCTTCCCTATGGTGCAAGACTTAACAGATCAATGAAATGTTTTCTGACTTTTAGATTCATTCCTTGTTACTATATAAGCCATGAAGATCCGGCACTGTGACCCCTTCAAGGTTCTCTCACCATATCTAAGATATTTTTTTGCGGGTTAAATGAGTTAATACATACAAAAATGTTAGAACAGTGCTTGGCACGCTGTGTTAATTGCCACTACTGCCACTATTTTTTAAAATTATTATTATTTGTACTATAGCTTTTTTTTTGAAGAGGTGGGATCGTGATCAGAGAAGTGAGCCAACACTGCCACTCTCTAGCTATAAAGCCTTGAGTCAGTTTCTTTCTTTTTTTTATTTTTTTAAACCTCTCCCAGCCTCCCCAACGGTGAAATTTCTGCCGTTTACATTCATTGAATATAATGAAAAATAAAGGTCCTGTAAAAATAGTGTTTAAGTGATCTCCATTTCACTTAAAATTTGCAAGATGGACAAGATACATGAAAATAAATTGACCTGTACGCTCCATGAAGTTCTCTGACAGTGAGGAAACTCAGAATCTAGCCGTCTACACAGACACGTGCTTCATTCAAATTCGGATTTAGGCACCTAATTTGCTGTCTGACACCAGGAGAGTTACTTATCCTAGCCAATGCTGGACACATAGTGGCCATTGCCATTTGAATATCAGCGTGAAACGGGGGAAAATAATTTTTAAGCTCTTCATAAATATCTGAAAGTAATTATTGACGGCTAAGATGTGCAGTGCTGACACCCTTTTTTCTCCACTTAACTTCACTCTTAAAGAAATCATAGCCCCTTTACCTGAATGAGGCCTTTAGTACTTTGCTGCACTTTAACCCACCTCATTTTACCCTACAATTCTATCCTATGGAGTACTTCATTCCGGTTTTGCAGATTGAAGACACTGAGGTCAGTTAGAGCACATTTTCCCTGAGTGTTGAGGCCGAGATAGTTCTCAGCTCCAGTGAAATCTAAAAGCAGCGTTTGCCACCTTTTGGAAGAATGATTCCTTCAAACCAGTCAGGAATTCTGAAACATTTTAAATCTCTTTGATTTTTTGTCTTCCCTATGGTGCAAGACTTAACAGATCAATGAAATGTTTTCTGACTTTTAGATTCATTCCTTGTTACTATATAAGCCATGAAGATCCGGCACTGTGACCCCTTCAAGGTTCTCTCACCATATCTAAGATGCCAGGCACAGACAAGCGTTCCACAGCCTCCAAACAACTTAAAAACTCTGACTCCACATAGCTCAGATTTTTCTTTTCTTTTCCATAAGTATCAGGATTGTTACCTTGAGAGCCTCACAGTGTCAGGGACCTTCTGAGTTAAAGAATTCAAGAGGGGACATTCTCAGGCTCACAGATTTTCCCACCTCCTTTTCCAGGCTTTTCCATAGAAAGCAGTGGGCCAAACCTGGGGAATAATGGCTAGGAATAATCAAATACGTTTGAAAGCGTGGAGGTCAGTGAGTGCAGGTGAACTGGGGCTGGAATCAGGGAAGATGGCCCTCGAGGAAGCCCAGCACCCTGGCAGCAAGTCCTTATGGCAGTCCTCAGTGGTTCACTTTCTCTCAAATGATGCCGGGCACTGCTCCTTCTTTCTCCGTTTTGTACACTGCCACCTATGAAGTGGATATCATTCTTATTCCTACCACTTCCCACTGCTGCTCCTAGGAACATAGAGAAAATAAAACATTTTTTAAGTGACAGTCTATGGCAAAAGAAATATGAATGTTTGTTAGGACTTCTTTGTGGTTGACCTTGATGTCTGTCTTCGTCTTTACTATTAATATCATTATCACCATCATTATTTTATTCTCCGGTAAACCCCGTGACCCTGGGGCATTTGAGTTCTGCAGACCCTCCCCTTTTGCTTTCTGTTTTCTTCTTCCCTTCTGCCTAAAAGGCAGAGGGCTAGAATGAATGCCAATAGCATGGAAATTGCTTCCCCATAGTTCCAAGTCTGAATCTCAGTTTTACCTCTTAGTTATGTGCTGCTGGGTAAATTGGTTAGTTACTTTTAAGCTTCAGTTTGTGGTGGTTGTTCAGTCACTAAGTCATGTCTGACTCTTTGCAACCCCATGGAGAGCTTCGGTTACTTCATTTATAAAATAATAACACCTCCCTCTCTGGATTTGTATAAGAGTTAAATGAGAGGTGAAGTCTCATTATGATTACTGGCACATAAGTAGGTACTCCAGAAGTGGTATTGCCTTTCGTACCTGGAAAAAACCTACTCCATGGCTCACAGAGAATTGTCTTTCGTATGTTTGAGATCAAATAATGCTGTTCCTAAGACAACCTTATTAATAGGCACAACCCTCTGACATCTGTAAAGAACCACAGTATAGGACTCCCCTGGTGGTGCATTGGATAGGAATCCACTCGCCAGTGCAGGGGACACAGGTTCCATCTGTGGTCCAGGAAGGCTCCACTTGCCTCGGAGCAACTAAACCTGCGAGCTGCAGCTCCTGAAGCCCACATGCCTAGAGCTTTTGGTCTGCATCAAGGGCCACTGCAATGAGAAGCCTGAGTAGCCTCAGCTTCTCACAGCAGAGTAGCCCCTGCTATCTGCACTTAGAGAAAGCCCAAGCAGCAAGGAAGACCCAGCACAACCAAAAATAAATGAACAAGTAATTATTTTTTTAAATCACAGTATAATAGTAACGCGTCTAACATAGACTTTCCAGCAGTGATGTCGTCTTTGGTCATCAAAACTGTACAAGATATGCATGCTACTGCTACTGCTAAGTCACTTCAGTCGTGTCCGACTCTGTGCGACCCCATCCCTGGGATTCTCCAGGCAAGAACACTGGAGTGGGTTGCCATTTCCTTCTCCAATGCATAAAAGTGAAAAGTGAACATGAAGTCGCTCAGCCATGTTCTACTCTTCGTGACCCCATGGACTGCAGCCTACCAGGCTCCTCCATCCATGNAGCACTGGGGTGGGGTGCCGTTGCCTTCTCTGAAGGTATGTATGAGTGAAACACAAATCATCTGCGTCACTCCATTGCTCAGATTAGGAGACTGAGGTTATCGAGAGTTGTCCAGGTGCTAGTAAGTACCAGAGGCAAGGCTTTTTGCTTTGGGCTTCTTTTTAAAACTTCTGTTTTATATATGGATTTTAGAAAGATGGTAATGATAACCCTGTATGTGAGACAGCAAGAAAGACACAGATGTACTGAACAGTCTTTTGGACTCTGGCGGGGAGGGCGAGGGCGGGATGATATGGGAGAATGGCATTGAAACATGTGTATTATCATATGTGAAACAAATCTCCAGTCCAGGTTCGATGTGTGATACAGGGTGCTCGGGGCTGGTGCACTGGGATGGCCCAGAGGGATGGGTGGGGAGGGAGGTGGGAGCGGGGTTAAGGATGGGGAACACGTGCACACCCATGGCGGATTCAAGTCAATGTATGGCAAAACCAATACAATGTTGTAAAGTAAAATAAATAAATTAATTAATTTAAAAAAATAAAACTTCTTTTCACTATTTCCTATAGCTAGAACTATAATCACTCTATTTCTATACCCAGTTAAGGAACAAGGAGTTCCAAACAATTATTTTATCTCCCACCTGTGGGGAGAAATCCAGGAAATTCTAGCCAGAGTTTCGGGACACTTCCCACCTTAGAGGCATGGAAAGCCACGAAGAATCCCATCAAAGGCCCCTATGGGAGTGAGGCTCACTGAGTCTCTGCAGTGCGCGTCCTATTCTGACAGACAGAAGGGCGGCAAGATAAAGAGCTCGGGCTTGATGTCAGTAAGACCAGACTTTGCATCTTGGCAATTGTGGGGAGCAAGTTACCTAACTCTCTGAGCCTCAGTTTGTGGTTGATGGCTACACCTAACTGTGGAGTCATCATGAGGATTAAAAGAGGCGATACACATAAAAACACTGCTCGGGACTTCCCTAGTAGTCAGGGGTTATAACTCTGAAATCCCACTGAAGAGGGTGCAGGCTTGATTCCTGGTCCTGGAACTAAGATCCCACATGCCGTGAAGTGTGTCCAAGAATTAAACACACAAAAAAAGCGTAGTGCTGGACACAGTCTTAAGTTTTCAACACATTAGTTGTTTTTTTTAAAAGGCCAAAGACCATGCATTAAAATGATACACGTTAGGCCTAAATTAGGAATGTAATAAATGCAAAGAGCTTACAACGATGCCCAGAAGATTATAGCCCAGTAATTGCTATGTAACTGTTTTCTGTTATTACTGTTATAATTATTTCCCTATACAACAACTCCTTGTAACAGTGGTTATATGATAAGCAGTTGGCTATGTGTATGTATATGTTTGTTTTGGTTTTTTGTCTGTTGAACCAGGTCTCAGCTGAGGCATGTGGACTCTAGCTCCCCAACCAGAGATTGGAGTCTCAGTCACTGAACCCCCAGAGAAGCCCTGGAGCATCTGACTTTGGGGGAGGGAGCCTCCAGTGTTTCTTTCTTATGGGAGCTGAGATCATAAAATGAAAAAGGCAAATATCGTCTCAGTGGATTTACTTTCTACCAGTTTCCCTCGTTCCACCTAATTTTACCTGAAACAGAAAATTTATTAGTAGATGGGATAAAATCACCAATCAAGCTTACTGTTGAGGCTATGGATATTTTGCTCAACAGAAATTATTTTAAAAAGTAACCCTCTGATGTGGCTTCCCTCATAGATCAGTTGGTAAAGAAGCCGCCGGCAATGCAGGAGGGTTCTAAATTATCAACCCTCAGGTAACTTAGAACATGCAACTCAACCCAGAGAGACCTCTCATCCCGTTTCCAG